TCAGCCTTCCAAGTAGCTGGAACTACAGGTGTGCACTACCATGCCCAGCTAATTTTTTTATTTATTGTAGGGATAAGGTCTCGCCAAGTTACCCACGCGGGTCTCGAACCCGTGGGCTGAGGCAATCCACTCACCTCAGCCTCCCAAAGCACGGGATTACAGGCTGAGCCACCGAGCCCAGCCGTCTCATCCTCTTTTATGTTTGCTTGTACATAACCATTTAATTGGTCTTTTTTTTTTTTGAGTCAGAGTCTCAATCTGTTGTCCAGGCTGGAGTGCAGTGGCACATTCATGGCCACCACAGTCTTGACCTACTGGGCTCAGGTGATCTTTCTACCTCAGCCTTCCAAGTACCTGGAATTACAGGCATGAGCAGCCAGGCTAAGCTAATTTTGTTTTGTTTTGTTTTGTTTTGTTTGATTTACTGTAGAGACAGGGTCACACCAAGTTGCTCATGCTGGTCTCGAACCCCTAGGCTCAGACAGTCCTCTTGTCTTGGCCTCCCAAAGTGCTGGGATTACGGGCATGAGCCACTGTGCCCAGTCAGTTGGTCTATTTTAAAAATCATATTCTACAAGAGAAAATCAGAACCGCTGAATTCTGTTGTCCTTCCACTTCAGTAACTGGGAACCCTTATGGCTTCTTTGGTCAGGTGGTGAATCCTCAATCAAGAATGAAGAGCCGATTATAAAGCAGGAAGCCTCAGGAGAAACAGAGTTGCACAGAGTGCCAGTAGGAGGACTCCTCAGAAACATCTCTGAGCATTTTGATTTTAAAAGCAAGGCAATGAAGCAGACTTTCACTCTAAATCCAAATCTGATACTTCGAGGTGGAATGAAGTTCTATGAATGTAAAGAATGTGGGAAAATCTTCAGATATAATTCAAAACTCATTCGGCATCAGATGAGTCATACTGGGGAAAAGCCCTTTAAGTGTAAGGAATGTGGCAAAGCTTTCAAGTCCAGCTATGACTGTATTGTACATGAGAAGAACCACATTGGAGAAGGGCCCTATGAATGTAAGGAGTGTGGCAAGGGTTTGAGTTCCAACACAGCCTTGACTCAACATCAGAGGATCCACACTGGAGAGAAACCCTATGAATGTAAGGAATGTGGAAAAGCTTTCCGTAGGAGTGCAGCATACCTTCAGCATCAGAGATTACACACAGGCGAGAAACTCTATAAATGTAAGGAATGTTGGAAAGCTTTTGGCTGTAGGTCACTTTTTATTGTCCATCAGAGAATTCATACTGGGGAGAAACCTTACCAATGTAAGGAGTGTGGCAAAGCCTTTACTCAGAAAATAGCTTCCATCCAGCATCAGAGAGTTCACACTGGGGAGAAGCCTTATGAATGTAAGGTGTGTAGGAAAGCCTTCAAATGGTATGGAAGTTTTGTTCAGCATCAGAAATTGCACCCTGTAGAGAAGAAACCTGTCAAGGTTCTTGGGCCATCCCTGGTCAGTCCCCAGTGCCCCTCTCCAGCCTTATCTTCTGTTCCTCTCCAAGGGTCCTGCTCTGCTCCAGCTATAGTTGTGCCTTCACTGACCTTTCCACATGCCGTACTCATTCCTGCTTCTGGGCCTTTGTTCATGCTGCTACCGACATCTGGAACACCTTCTTCTCCTGCTCAGATAATACGTGTTTTCCAGGGTCTTACTCCCACTGTGAAGCCTTCTCCAATTATTCTGACCCCTTCTCACCCCTCATGAGCTTCATCTTGGGACTCCTGTGGCTCTTATGCCCAGCTAATCTCCAGCCTAATTTAAGTTTTATTTGCATTTTTTCTTCACCTTACATGTGTTACAACTGTTTCACATAAACTCCATTGTAATCCGTATACATTTAAAGACCATGTTTCCTCTGGTAGAAAATGAAAATTCTTAACCTTTGCATTGGTCCCTTACATACTTGAACAACAGTGGCTATATCTGCATGATGGGGTTTCCAGTGTTAGAAGTGCTGAGAAGACAGTGTTAGGGAAGTTTGGGAAAGAGCACATCCCTGTATTAGGCATTTGTGATTAGAGGGAAGCAACCTGGGTAAAGCAGGAAGAGGCATGCAAGAACTGTGGCAGCAGAGAATTGAAATAAGCTTCCAACAAGTAGAGAAGAATGTAGATTGTTTAGTGGGCCGGTGGCTAGGTGTGTAGTAATACAATTGAAGTTACTTTGCCCTTGGCACATATCATGAGGATCCCATAAATATATGCAAAAGATAATGTGAAATGTAAAAAAAAAAAAAAAGGCTGCATTCATGGCAGTGGTAGCAATCATGTACAATCATGTCTTTAAACATGACTTTCTTTAGTTTTGTTCTTGATATCTAGATTTTTCTTTTAACTTTTGTTTCCTAAGTAAGTATACACAAAGACATTCATCTTTGTTTTATCTGTTGTGTACGTTTTTCTTGAAGGACATTCTGTTTTTTTCTTTGGAAACACTGGCTTCTATATTTTATTTTCTCCAGGTAGCATAAATTGTAAATGTGAATTTGTGAATTACTAAAGAAATAAAGGCAATGGTATAAAGCCAGCTTGGGGGAAATATGAATAAGCCTCCAAAATTGTTTTTAGAAGTAAAGGGGGCGGTGTTATGGGTCAATGGTGGGCTTTGTGATGAGTTAGAGAAGTGGAATTTTGGGTTGCTTTTGGTATTGACCTTGATGAGGAGCCTTTGCAACTATTCAAAGGACTATATGAAGTAGGTACTGGAAAAATAACTTGAGTTATGCATTTGTTAGCATTAATGTAAATGTAAGTTCTAAACATTAATAGAGGGGTCAATGTATTTTTTTCTCTTTTGTTCTGCTGTTGCTATCTAGGTGTTTATCATAATTACTAGAAAAGACCTTTATGTTCTTGGTTTTTAAATTTTATCATGTACCTGAAATACCTGCTGTGCTTGTAAAAAAGAGTAGTTTTCTAGCCTAACTTCCAGAAATGATGATTTTGGATGTCTGTGATGAAGGCCAGATCTTTAGTGTGAACCGTACTTTGAGAGATATGCTTTAAACAGAAAATGCCTCTTTGGAAGCATATACTGATAAAGAGTTTGTGAGGGACTGCCTTATATCACAGTGAATCCTCAGGAAAGAGACTTCTAAAAGTAGTTTGAATCGTGTCAATTTAGAAGAAGAGAGAAAAGCAAGTGAGATGTGGCCGGTTGGGAAGAGAAGAAAGGGGCAAAATGATCTGGTGTGATCTATGGAGAATTCTGAGGTGACTTCAATGTTTGTGGGAGTTGACATTGACTGTCTTCTGCTATTTATTTGCTTGTTGCCTGAAATCATGAGGAAGTACTTTTTTTAAATTATAAAGTTAACACACTTCAAAATAGCTCTTGTATTAAGGAACACAATGGGTGCAAGAGATGATTTAGAACTGAACAAGAGTAAGAATAGGACATACCAGAATCTATGGGATGTGGCAAAAGGTGGTATTCAGAGCATTATTTGTGGTCTTGAATGCATTCCTTAGAAAACAAGAGTTTGATAGCTTACAACTTGGGCACCTCAGGGTGGTACTTGGTGATGGGAAACAAACAGAACAAAATTAACCAAAAACTGAAGCAAAGAAACAAACCCACAAATCCTATAAACTTAGCAGAAATAAGATACACAATAGTGTTTTTGGTAAAGATGGTGGCTGAACATGTGTGATAGCTAGCATTCACATCCTTCTGAAACCCCACTAGAACAGTTAAAGAGGTTAAAGATTAAAAGGAATAAACTCACAAGGACAAAAAAAATAAGATGATAACATTTTGGAAGCTAGAAAGCAAGTGAAAGAGTTCTAACTTTTAGCAGGTATGAGAAAGATGAATCCTAAGCTATAATACAGGAAGCTGAATAGCATTTATTATATTCTGCCTATATGGTAGAATTCCAAAAAAGGCTTAAGGATTAAAGATTCAGGTATTTCTGGAAGTAGGCGATGCACGTGGGACTAAGAATGGGGAACTTGGCTAAGTCTTTTACACACCATTTGGATTCTCAGGTCATATCCTCTGTCTCTCTTCTCTGGCATTTTGAAGGTCAGGGGTACCACACTGCATGTTAGGTCCTTCTCCTTCACCTTCTAAACTTCTAACCCTATTAATATTCAGAATGTGGCCGACTAGATTTAGGCACCTTCTGGACTGGAAATCAGAAGTACTTTCTTTGGAATATCAGATCAAGTCAAAAGAAAAGACCAATGACACATTCCACCCAATGACATGGCTCTTCAGAGAATTCTAACTGACACACAGCCTCCAGTCAGCTTTTAAATGTTTTGTTCTTAGATATAAACAAATAGCGAAGAATATGAAGGAGGCTGAAGCAAGAAAAAAAGGGCCCACTTGAAAGAAACAGACTGCAAGAAGAAGAAAACTTAATGTCTTGAAACTAGTAAAGATATTTGCATCCATGAAACAATACCATACTATAAAAAAAAGAAAATTTGGAGGCAAAAAGAGAGCTCTTGAAAACTAGAAGTTAATATTAGAAATGAGCCACTCAGTATATGCGTTGAAAAACAAAGTCAAGGAATCATCTAGAAAGTATAACAAAAAGGTATAACAAAAAGGTGAAAGTAACAAAGAGGTTCAGTATATGTGATCTGACAGCCAGATAAGCCTTAACAAGAGGGAAATGTAGAAATTGGAGAGGAGGAAATCAAATAATTCAAGGAGGTTTCCCAGAATTGAAGACTCCATGCCTTCATCAGCACACATTGCAAGGAAGCGTTCCAAGTACTTGAAGTGAGGCTGTTCCTCCTCAGGCCTACACTAGTAGGAACTGAGAGGGGACTTCACAACCTCAACCTCCTGGGCTCAGGTGATCTTCCACCTAAGCCTCCTGAGTAGCTGGAACTACAGGTATACACCACAACAGTTGGCTAATTTTTTTTTTTTTTTTGTAGTGATGAGGTCTCGCTGTGTTGACCAGGCTTGTCTCGAACTCCTGGGCTTAAGCGATGCTACTGTCTCAGCCTCTGTGGTGGATATTACAGGTGTGAGTCACTGTGCCTGGCCATAAACATAACTTATATGCACTGGGAAACTAAACAATGTGTGTGGCTACCTTTATTGTGATATTTGCTTTATTGCAGTGGTCTGGAACTGACCTGCAACATCTCTGAGGTAGGCCTACACTTTACAAGATGTCTCAACATCTCTATAAAGTAGATTAGTAATAATATCTTATTTCTTAGCTTTCCAGAAAGTTATATAACTTGCTTTTTTCTAAAACTTGTATAATTTTAAAAGTCAGATGATTGAACATATACTTAAAAAAGACATGTGTCTTTTTTTTTTTTTTTTTAAGAGATACAGGTTTTTCTATGTTGTCCAGGCTGGATTTGAACTGGGCTCAAGCAGTCCTCCAACCTCACCCTTCTGAGTACCTGGGACTACAGGCCATTTGACAGTTTTATTACATGAGACCCAATTGTAAGGCTAGCTCATTTCTTAAATGAATCAGTAACAAATGTTATTATTGCATTTCTGCTGATCTACTTACTCATTGCAATGGATTTGTGGTGTTACGGGAAATTTCATTTGGCTCAAATGTTTCAATCTACTCTGCCTCCGCAAGGACACCTTAGATTTTAATGATGATGAAATGATATAATTTCCTGGTAGCATTAACCATTTGATATTTAAGCTCAGGGTGTTGAAAGTTAGATTTTTAAGTTTTAGGCTTGTATAAAAAGAAATGAGACTCTAGAGATAGTCTCAATGACCTTGCTAACGATCACAGTGGTCGGGGACAGAGTGGAAGTATTTTGATGCCCCCACCTTCAGCTTTAATGCTAACTTTCTAATAATAGTCTCAAGCATAACAGCAGTTTTTAGTGTATCAAGTAATTATTCATATAGGGTAGGTTTTTATTTCTTGCTGTTATTTGCAGGCAGTTTTGGCAGTTTAATTGTAACTTGTTCTGCAATGACTATTATCAAATGGGTTAATTATGAAAGGACTGAAGTCCATTAAGTTGTAGAGGTATAAATAATGAGTGTCAAATGTATAGGCAGCAGGAACCTGAAGCCAAATTGTGCTTGTTACTGAGAAGGGAGGTTCTCTTTATAATGTTTGTGCTAGGACAGAACAATTTCCTTGCACTTTTCAGATTTCTCATCTTTTGTAAACAAGGTACTTAATTGTTTTATAAACAACTTAGAAGGGTGTGTATATCATTTGCATAGATTGTCTATTTTTAACTTCTTGATTATGTAAAGTGGCTTTTAAATTTAAGTTTAAAGAATTGTTTTCTGTTTATAAAAGGAACACATGCTTAGAGCAAAAGCTTACCTAGAAAGTACCTAGGCCTAAATTTTACCACTTGTAATACTTTGGTGAACACACATATGCACACACTCACACACATATGAAGGCATACACAAATTATAATATGCATATTCCATTATAAATTTCTATTTTTTTTCGAGTTGGAGTCTTACTCTGTCACCCAGACTGGAGTGCAGTGGCCACTCCCGGCCACTGCAACCTCGACCTGCTGGGCTCCAGCAATCCTTCTGCCTCAGCCTTCCAAGTAACTGGAACTACAGGTGCGCACTACCACACCTGGCTAATTTTTTATTTATTGTAGAGATGAGGTCTCGCCAAGTTCCCCAGGCGGGTCTTGAACCCGCAGGCTCAGGCAATCCACTCACCTCGGCCTCCCAAAGCACTGGGATTACAGGTTGAGCCACCAAGCCCGGCCCCATTATAAATTTCTTAGTTCAGTTAGCAGCTTATCGTGCATATGTCCTAGTCAGCAAGTAATCTATAATATGCTTAATAGCTGCATAATATTGCATTGTGTGGCTTTAGATTCTGTATGTATCCAGTCTCTTA